TTTTGCACAAATTGCTTTTTTCCTTCTGTCCCCAGGCCGAGTCTGATTAGCATAACTGTGATTGGAATCTTATAACAAATACTTCAGATTAAGATCTTTCCTCTCGAATCCTCTGTTAACTGCTTCATTCTTAACCAGAACATGTACATTCGGCCATAGACCTACTACGGGGGGTTGGAAGTGTATGTCTGTCAGCCAGATGCGACATAAACATTTATGCCTGACTCACCAGATTATGAATGTGGAGCTGGGAAGGAGCATGGGCAGATATCTCACGGTGCCACTTATTATGGAGGAAACTATTGAAATTGGACAAGGTTTTCAGAACTCAAGCCCCTCACCACCCATTATTTACACTTGCCCAAAATCCATTACACCGATCACATCCCTGCCTGTAGCCTTCTAAGGTGTCCACTGACTGGTTGAACCAGCGACAGGGGTTTCCGCATAGGGAAAAGAAGCCAAATTTTGGGAACTTCTGACCATCACACCTATATGAGTTTATTGGATATCCCATTTGAAGTTGGGCCTCCTTTGCAGCTATATTGTCCACCAATCTACTGGGAAGGTTTTTCAAAAAGATTTTAGAGAATGTCTGTAGGAATTTGTGCCCATTTTGTAAGGTCATGTTGGTTGAGAAGACACGGCTCACAGTCTGCGTTCAAGTTCACCCCAAAGGTGTTCAGTAGTGTTGAGGTCAGGGCTCTGTGAAGGGCACTCGAGTTCCACCACACCAAACTGGTCCCACCATGTCTTTATGGAGCTGGCTTTGTACACAGGGGACAGTCATGGTGGAACAGAAAAGTACCTTCCAAAATGTGCATCTGTTGGGTTTTGTGCTCAATGAGCCAAAAGAGCATTTGTGGGGTCGGATGCAGCTCCTGAATGAGAAGTCCTGGCTGGTGTCCAGTAGGGTTGAGGTCTGGGCTATGAGCGGGACACTCGAGTTCCTCCACACCAATTGGTCAAGCCATGTCTTTATGGTGCTGGCTTTGTACACAGTGCAGGGCTATGCTGGAACCGAAAAGGGCCTTCACCAAACTATCAGAAGGCTAGAAGAGCCCAATTGTCTGTAATGTGTGTGCATGCTAATGTTTTGTCAATCGAGATTATGGGTTTCATTTTATGTATCTGGATTTTGGGTGGGCTGCCCAACATGCTCATATAGGATTTCTAATCCTGGAAGACATGTCTGTGTTGTCTATGTGACCAATCGGATGTACAGTGAAAGCGCCATATGGGAAATGGTAATGTTTTTTTTTTTTTTTTAGGATACAAGATCTCCTGGGAGGAGTTTAATCAGACCAACACCAGAGTGACGCATTACCTGCCCAACGTCACCCTGGAGTACCGCGTGACCGGTCTCACCTCTCTCACCACTTACACCATCCAAGTGGCCGGGATGACCTCCAAGGGCCAGGGGGCCGTGTTCTCATCCACCATCTCCTCCGGGGTGCCTCCAGGTCAGTGTGTTAAAAAACATATCTAACATTTTGTTCAGTTCCGGCAAATCAAGGAAGGCCCGTGTAACAGTTCTTGTTTATTTTATCTTTTCCCCTTTCCTACTTATTACAGACATAAAGCAGCATCAGATACACTACAGGGGGCATATGTAATACTTACACCTTGTGCCCTTTACTAAAGATATGCAAGCGCTGCGATCAAATGATGACTTTGATTTTTGAGTCTGCACAGGCAAGCATTGCATTAAGCCTAATGAATATAATAACGTGGACCTCTTTTGAGACCCATTGATGTCATCACTGGGTCTGTCTGCTGGTCTTTGCTTTGGAGGGAGGGGCCTTCGGGCAACTAAAGATGTCACAGCACCCTGCCTCGGATCCTTTTTTTATGAACCCGAGCATTATATGAAAGAACACAAGCCTGGCAACCCTTTAGACCTGCATGCTCCTCCCTGCTGGGTGCTGAAGACTTAAAGGTGATCTATGAGGGGAGTGATTTCCACTCATCCTCATAGTTAGAGCCGACGTGTGACAAAGAAGCTGTGACAGGTCGGCTCTATTGATCGGGAAGTGAGCAGAAACATGGTGCTGATCCGCTCACTTCCCGACCGTCTTCCTGCAGTGAACGGTGACTGTCAGTCACCGCTCCCCGCAGTGATTCTCCCCTCTCCAAACCTCCAACGCTGAGTTGAGGAACGAACAGGGAAGGGGGCGGGCAAGCTGGCTCTGCCTCTAGATAAACAGAGCCAGCTGTCAATCACTCAGCTGGGTGGATCTCGACAGCATTGTCCGCTGTCGAGAGACAGCAATAGCCCACTATATAGTGAGCTTTGGGTCACGGGAGGAGGTTAGTATATGTTCTCCTGTGACCCTAAAGATAACTATGGGGTAAACACTTACACCCATAGTTCTCTTTTAAGCTGTGCAATCTGCTGGTCAACAGCTGCTTGACTTGTAATTAAAGGAGAACTATGGGGTCAGTGTTTTTCCCCATAGTTCTCCTTTGGGTAACGGGAGGACACAAACTAGCGTCCTCCCGTTACCCTAAGCTCAGTATATAGGGAGCTACAGCTCGCGGTATACTGAGACGCCGCAGCCGGAGTGGATCCCGACGTAGATGACGGGATCCGCCCAGCTGCGTGAGTGACAGCTGGCTCTGCCTATCTAGAGGCAGAGCCAGCTGTACCCGCCCCCTCCCCCGTCCGTTCCGCCAGTCAGCGCTGGCAGATCGGAGCGGGGAGGGGGGAATCCAGCCCCTCCCCTGTCACGGCAGAGAGCCGTGACAGGATCGAGAGGTGAGCGAACGCCGGTATGTGTTCGCTCACCTCCCGATCTACTGAGCCGACCTGTGGCAGTCTCATTGTCACAGGTCGGCTAGAACTATGAGGTGAGTGAAAAGCACTCACCTCATAGTTCTCCTTTAAGCAGTTTATCAGCAGATTGCACAGCTAAAGTCTGCACCACCTCGGGAGAATGCATGTCTATAGAGATGCCAGGGATGTGTTTTTTCATATAATACTCAAATAATTTCCTTCTTGATGGCGTAGAAGGTTAGTAGCGGTCAGAGGGGGGCAACAACAGTATGGTTTCGGAGTAGACAGGATTGATAATGTTTGTGGTTGTTCAGACAAGAAACAGAGGAGATAGCTGTTGCAGCTTCGAAGGGTTTTATTGCGGGGATGCAGGTTGGCAGGAAATTGAAAGTAATCTGTTTCAACACTGGGTAGGATTTGCCAAATGTGTGGGGGGACAAAGCTAAGTTTGGCGTCTGGCTGTCCTTTGACTTTAATCATTTTAAGTTACTGACCAAGAACAAGCATATCACAAGTGCAGTGGGAGCCAGGGCTGGACCAAGTGGTGGACACTTTTTGGCCTTTTTGCTTATGGAGTGACAGGACCTTGTCCCCGCACTGGTCTGAACTCCTGAACTGCATAATGGTTCTTGGTCAGTGACTCGATGAGTATTGAAGATGGGGAATACGTATGACAGCCAGGAAAACTAGCATTTTTGTAAGGAGGTAGCCAGGGCCAGCCTTCCTGTATCGGGTCTCCTTTTTGTAGTAGCGCATTATCTAATGTGAAGACAGTTCAGCTTTGCTACCAAAATCCAGATCTGTCTGAGCGTGTTAAGTCATTTGTACAATTTCTCTTCCATAGAGCTGCCCGGAGCACCAACTAACGTCGCCATCAGCAACATTGGACCTCGTTCTGTCACGCTGCAGTTCCGGCCAGGGTATGACGGGAAGACTTCTATCTCCAGGTGGCAAGTGGAAGCCCAGGTGAGGGTGCCAGGCTCTGTCCTCAATTTTACCAATCGTGTGTAGTGCTTTCTGGTTATTTTAGGTTGAAATTAAAGGGGCGCTTCACCATAATGTGTATCGGGCGTTCTTACTATTTAGTGGCATTTAAAGGGTCACTTCTCCTCCCATTATGGAACTGTAGAAGTGAGATCCCACCCAACTTCCAATAACAGGTCCAGTAACAGGTTCTGACCATCCCTGTGGGATTTTGTATGTATTTCCAGCTCATCTCTAGACGGACAAAATTTTATTTTATTTATTTCTCAATCTACTTTGTGTGTACCAAATGTCTTTGGAAACCCAGTTTTTACCATAAAAAAAGAAGCAGTGACATCATCACTGTGCTTTACAGAGCCTGTGGAGAGAACAGAGCTGTGGGAGCAGGCCCCACCCACTACTGCAGATTACAGAAGGGGTGGAGACCAGACCAGTCACCCTGCACAAGGAGAGAGCAGCAGTGAGCGGTCTTTATTACAGTAGGGGGCGGAGACAAGACCAGTCACCCTGCACAAGGATGGAGAGCAGCAGTGACCGGTCTTTATTACAGGAAGCTCCAAGTCTCACTCTGGATTACTGCTCAGATCTGGAAGAAATACACAAAGCTCTCCAAGATTCAAGAAGAAAACACGTGACTTTGGTATAAGGACAATATTTGCTTATTCTACAGTTCAACTTTGATACTTTGAAGACCTCCTGATCCCCTTAAAGATGATCACATAGGGATTGATTCATTTGCATCTTTTTTTTTTCGTGTAAGAGTACCACATATCGTTTAGAGCAGGGGTCCTTTCAGTGGTATGTGGGCAGAATAATGCATCATTGCTATCAATGGAAGCAAAGGTGGCCCATTGCTGGTGTGAGTGGGAGGAATAGTCCCCCATCATTGGTGTCAGTGGTGCTATAAGTGGAAGCAAAGATGGCCCATTGTTGGTGTGAGTTGGAGGAATAATACCCCATAAAATAGAAATAATGGTAAAACTGCAAGCAATGCCAGCCTCTGTGATTTCACTATCAGAGTAACTATCTTCTGTTATAGGTCGGTACACAAGGCGAATCAGAAGACTGGGTCCTTATACATCAGCTGACCAATGAGCCCAATGCCCGAGCCCTGGTGGTCCCAGTATTAAACCCATACACGTTTTACAGGTGGGGAATTTCTTCTTGTAATTAGAAAGTTTGTGTTGTATGTCAATGATTTTGTGGACATGGACCCTTTCATGTAATTCTTCTATAATTCAGCTTTCGAATGAGACAGGTGAACATTGTGGGCACCAGTCCTCCCAGTCTACCTTCCAGGAAGATACAGACACTTCAGGCCCCTCCTGATATGTTCCCAGCAAATGTGACCCTCCGCACAGCCAGTCAGACCAGCTTGTGGGTGCGCTGGGGGGTAAGTAGCTCTCGATTGTCTCACTGCTTTAAAAAAATGTTACGTGGGGTTGCTAAAGTTGCATTGTCAAGTATCTCAAAACTGATATTCGGGTGGTGGTGGCAGAGCGGCACTGGTACATGCTGCAGCCTTGTTCTTCTCAGGATGGCCGGTTGATGGTTAGTGTTACAGATAGGGTAAATGTCAAGATTACAGGGAGGGTTAGGGTTACAGGGTGGGTTAGTGTTGGGGCTAGTGGAAGGGTAATTGTCAGGATTACAGGGGGGGTTAGTGGTAGGGTCACCAAGAGGGTAAATGTCAGGGTTACAGGGAGAATTAGGGTTGCAGGGAGAATTAGGGTTACTGGGAGGGTTGGTGTTGAGGTTAATGGGAGAGTAAATGTTAGGGTTTCGGGGAAGGTTAGGGGCTTGTTAGTTTTCAGGTCAAGTTTACAGGGTCTAATTCTCCCTATTACTTTAAAACCTTATATATATTATATAGAAAGCCACATGAGGAGCTGGAGTACCCCAATGAGGGCGGGAGCACCTAAAACGTCTAAGTAAGCGGGAGCACAAACAGGAACTTTGGCAGGGGAGGTCGTATTTCTGGAGCCCCAAAACTGTATTAGAAGCCAGCACGTAATTCAGCCCACCAGACAGCGCCTATAACTGAATAACTTTTAGAAATACTAACCCTTTAAATGCCACATATTTTCTGAGATTCCTCCTTTTTTTCCGTGTTTCTATTTTTTTTATTGAACATAATGACTCTCATTTTCTGCAGCCTTTACCGGAGATAGCGTACAATGGAAACCCAGAGTCTGTGGGCTACAAGATCCGCTACACGAGGTCTGATGGCAAAGGAGAGTCGTTAACTCACGTGATTCACGACCGCATAGAGAGGGAGTACACTATTGAGAACCTGGAAGAATGGACCGAGTACTCTGTGCAAGTCGCAGCGTTCAACTCCATAGGGATCGGACCCTGGAGCCCCGCTGTGGTCGCCAGGACCAGGGAGTCAGGTATCAGGCACCAACAATCTGCTTTTTCACTTTTGATTTTTGCCACTACCAATATATTATATAAATTGGCCATTAGGCATATCTCACGGTTCCTCCACAACAGACCCAGCTCTTAATATTTAGAATGGCACAGACATCTGTCATCAGGCTTGTAGAGAAAAGGTGACCGGCGCTCCTTGCCTGATCCTGCTGCAAGCGAGAAGGAAACAATGTAACGAAAATGTATCGCTTTGTAAATCTTTTTTTTTTTTTTTAACATTTTAAATAATTAGAAGGAAATAAACCCCCCCGGTCAGGACTTTATTGTTAAAGAGGACCTTTACCCTTCTCTTTAAAATAACAACAAACACACCTTTTAGAGATGTTCAATGAAAATCTACAAACGCATACTTCTACATAATTGCCGGCTTTGTATTCTTTGCATATTATTATTTCTCTTTTCTTCCCCGGTCTTCTGACAGTGGCCATGTTTACTAAGGGCAGATTACTAGCTCTCCATTTACTTCCTGCATTTGTGCAGGGCCGTATTTACCGTGGTCAAAAGGGGCAACTGCCCTGGGCCCCATAATTTCCAGGGGCTCACAGCAGCTGTCTTTTTAGTCCAGGGTGACAGGCAGAAGATGAGCAGCCCAGCCAGTGGGGAGATCATCTCTTTCATCGGCCAGCCCTTTCTCCTGTTGCAGTGGTTCCTGGTATACTGGTGCCTGCTAAGGACATTGAGATCTCTACTGGTGACTTTAGGGAATACTGAGCTCTATACTGGTGTCTGCTGAAGGCATAGAAATCTGTGCTGGTGGCTGCCGAGTCCACTGAGATCTATACTGGTGACTGCCAGGGGATACTGAGACCTGTACTGGTGCCTGTCGGGGCCAATAAGATTATACTGGTGACTTTTGGGAACATTCAGATTAAATGTGTATATTTTTGTAGTTTTTTGGGGGGGGGTAGGTGATTTAGGTGGATATGTGGATATGGGGGGTCTAGGTCGGGAAGATGCGGAAGGGTGATAGAGGCAGGCTCTGCATTTCTGGCACATGTGACTAGGACATGTGACCATGCACATCATCTCAGAGGAGGAAAATGCCTTTCCCAGAGATTACACATGAGATTTCCCAGCAATGCTCTGCTGATAACAAGGCAATCCCAGTGTGCATTGCTTTGGCAAACTGAAGTCATTTAGCCCTTTCAAAGCTGGAATTGAATGCTCTGCAAGTGTCAGTATTTCACAATCACAGCATTTTAGACCTGGCATGTCTATGTTATTATTAATCATCATGCACATAGGGATGCATTGGTAGAATCAGATTTTTGAGTGTAAAGGTCCGCTTTAAAGTCTAAGCTGGAAGCTGCGCTCCTCAATACTTGACTTTTGAATGATCGTTGGGTGCTCAGAGTGATTACAGAGGCCATGCCAGAACTGGATGAGGAAATACAAAGTCATCAACACTGCTAAGTGGAGCGTTGGTGACTTTGTATCTTCTCATTAGGTTTTTCTTTGTCTATTCTTGTGTACAGTAAATGCATTACAGCTGTCCTAATTACTCCGATTTGATTCTTTCTTTTTTCCAGTCCCCTCCTCTGGACCCGGCAATGTCTCCGCTCTGGCCACGACATCAAGCAGCATATTGGTGCGCTGGAGCGAGATCGCAGAGGCCGAGAGGAATGGCCTCATTCTGGGGTATAAGGTGAGTGGCACTCTCATGAGAGACACGTCTGTGAAGAGTTAAAGTGTATATAAACCCTAATGAGTTTCTCTTATATCATCCCTTATGGTCTTTTAAATATAATCATTTGAAAGCGTTTTGTTGTTATATACTGATGTGAGCTGATAACATCCTGTGATCTCTGCCTGTGATAAATGTTAGCAGTTACATTGTTCCTAGCTCTCTTTGTGCACTACAAACTCCTCCTCCACTTCCTGCCCTAGGGTGGCAATGCTGTGCACCATAAGACGCAGTACAGTGAGGGAGTGTTGTCACCCTAGGACAGGAAGTGTGTTACTGCAAGAATCACCGGTTGAAAATACTGGGAAAGAAAAGAAAGCTTGAAAAACTAAAACTAACGCAGCCGCCACGTCTTTGGACTGATGAGCTGCAATATATTACATTTTTGATCTTGAGTTTAGAAATGCTTCACGCCTTGCAGAAAAAAACCAAAACACTCCACATTACAAATTGGAGCGGTCCGATTGCTGTTACATAGTACTCATCCAGAGGACTGCATTATATGGTCACTGAACGCTTTTGTGAATGCTGGCAAACTTTAATCTATGTTTTTTGACTTCTTCTAATATCTTTTAGGGACCCCAGTGGCCAGATATCACATCAGATTCTTTCTATCCCGCCCCCCTCCTGTCCTCGAGGGTCTAATAAGTGATTGTTAACACCACAGAAGACAATTGTATATGTGTGTTGCATTGCCATTCATTGCCAGTTGCACCCCCTATGCACATCTGCAGTGCACTGCAACACAACTGCGCTATATTACCCCGCAATGTGCAAATACTCTGTTCATTCAGTTTTGAGAAATCGAGCCTTTATTTTAGTGCATTGGCAGCTTATTTAAAATGAATGCATCGCACCTCAACAAAAAGAGACCTGTGTAGCGGTGCACTGCATTGTGGTGTAAATGGCGTCACTCTTCTCATGACTGGACTTCTTATATTACTTTATTCTGCATTATGCAGAAAATG